CATGGGTTAGTGAAGAGGTTCTTCACAGCTTTGTTTCTCGAGGTTGGATTTTGTGGCCCAAGTTTCTGCATCCTTTTACATTGTTACTCTCTGTCTTTTGATTTCTTCTCTGTTTTCCCCCCTTCCATTAAGGAGTAGGCTCTCTGCTTTTAATTAATGCCTTCTCAGTGAGGTGTATTAACAGGATCTGCCTCTTGTCTACTCAATATCCCATTTTCACTAAACTTGCAGAAAATATATTGAGATACTTGTTCTATGAAATAAGTCTTTTGTGCCAACTGATTAGTGGTTCAGTCATTACTGTGGACCAAGACATATAAATGGAAAGAAAAAAAGCATAGAAAGCGGACTAAAGAAGTCTTACTTACAAAGGCAATATTTGTCACTAATAGGGCTGGTATTATAACTTACAAGTCATAGCTATCAAACTGAACTGCTGATACGGTGGTTTTCTGCATATTGAACACTATGAGATGGAGAACTGTGTCTGCAGTGGCACAAGAAGGTTCTCACTTGCAAATATAGTGGGAAGAATTGCTAATAATGAGATGTTATTTTTAGATGTAGTTGGTAGGCTGATATAGTCCACAGTTACCTGCATCATCTTTTTTTTCTTTTTGTCTGTTGTGTTCATAAGCATTGTTAACCATCACTTTTAGCAATATACTATGTTGTGATGCCCCTCATCAGTTGATCATGCATTACCACTTCCTGAATTATTTGTAAACAGAACTATTGCTGGGAATCAACTAAAGGGACTCAATTCAGCTGTTCAGATGCAATGAGAGAATAGTGTAGAAAGCCCTTTCTTAGCCATCCCTGTGCTCACACTTGGTGTAACCCAGGTGAGACTGAAGTGTGATGTGCTTTTCCACTCTCTGCCCATGAAATGACAGCTTAAACTCAACCCCAGATGTGGCTCCCATGAGCAGAACATCCGAGTAGTGCTGACCCACTCATCCTTTATTTTCAGCTGGAAAGTGAGAGTGCAGCTTAAACAGCTACATGCCTCAATGTGCATGTTTTTAATCTTTCTTGAGGCTCTGTGCTTAGCAGGTAACCAGTCCAATGTACTCTCTGAAAAATAATGAATCCTGATTACCTGATCGCTTGCTTGGAAGGTGCAAGGATGGTCTCAGCTGAGGAGATGAGGGGAAAAGATCTTCAGAGAGATAGACTTTGCTGTTAGGTGAAAGATAACAAATACAGCTGGAGGCCAGTACCTGCTGCATTGCTTCCCTGTTTATTCCCTTGATTTAAGGACAGCTCCTACACATTATGCTGGAGATTCACAGGTAGGCTGTAGTCTGTTCTCTTTGGTAGGTTTGTTCCTGTGTTCAGATCACCAATATAACCCCTAATTAAGTGTTCATGCAGGTACACATTAGCCTTAGGTGAGATAAAACTCATTAAAACCAGCCGTGAAAGGTAGCAGCCCCCTGTGTCTTGTTGCCTTTTTTTTTTTTTTTTTTAATCCCCCATCAAAGAGTTGTGCTCAGTTTGTTTACTTTTGACCCAATACCTGAAGTAGGTTTGTGGCCAAAGTTCAGCAGTAAAGCTCATCTCAAATGTACAGACCTGGTCTCTGTTACCTGTGTGTCAGTGCAAAAGGTAAATGTTTCCTCTGCCACATTTCAGAGATGGTGCAGTTAAAATGGAGAAGTAGCTTTGGGTTTTCTCATTAGAGCCAAACCAAGTTCTATAGACTGTGGCAATCTGTCTTTCCACTACTTCAGCCATATCATCTTTAAAAGACAATTTAATGGTGCCTTATGGTGTGTAGAATTTACAAGGCTAATCTGTCCCCAGTTACACGACACAACCTTTGATAAAGCATCTCATATTAGATCAAACTGAGTCCAGAATGTTTTATGGACTGATTTAATATACTGGATTGAAACACTTACATTTTTTTAAGTGACTCTAAAAACTGAGGATTTGAGCAGCTATAAATAACTAAAGGGTTAACAGTGGGCACCAACATCTCTTTTCAAGGATTCTGCATTTTCTGTTTTATTCTGAGATGTTTGTGGCTTTAAGAGATGGAGGAGGCATACACCTAAAACCATAAGGAGCAGATTTTGCTGTTGGATGGTTTTGCAATATAAGATAATCCATTGATTTGAATAGATGTGCACTGGTTTACCTGAAGGAATTAATCTACAACTATCGGCGGAGAGGCTCGGACAGACTTGCACACAAATCAATATGATTGGCAAAAATGTCCCCTTTATTAGAGGAAAGGCAGCTTATATGCTGGCTGTGGCACAGAGACATGTGATTCTTCCCCAGGTTACATTGGATACATAAGGAAAACATACTGTGGTGTACAGTACTAATTGGATAACAGTAGGTGTCCATAAAACTTGTTTTCCTGACAGAACAACTCCTCCTTCACCTTGGAACAAGGCCTGCAGCCATTTTAGGGGCACAGTATCTTTTTACTGTCTGCACCAAGCCATGCCAAGGTGAAGGTCTCAGAAATGCAATAGAAATTGTTCACACAATTTCTGTCCTCCGACATACAACCTTTTCCATGTAAAAAAAAAAAATATGCAATACCTTCCTTGGATTCTTTGTGGTAGGTCAGTTTATGGCTGGTAAATTGTTGACTTATTTAAGATGAAAATGGAATCATCAATACCTATTTATTGTTGGTATAGTTGTGCTGTCACTGTTTTAAAGTTAAAAAGCAGCAATTAAAGCTGAAATCTGAAAGCTGTTTTATAATTTCACATGTGCAACACATCTCTCTTCTAGAGACTGTGGCCATGGCAGCAGTGGTTGCTGCACTTTGTGAATAACAGATGTGTAGGAGTTTAATACTGATTTTTGTAAAGTACAAAGTTTTTAAAACTCTCTTAAAAAAAAAAAATGCATCTCTGTTTCCTGTCTTATGTGTTACTAAATAAACTAGGGATTAATAAAAAGATACTGGATATGGATGCAGGAAAAGGCAATTGTTATTTTAAATCTCCCCGCTTCTCCCATAGTTTTCTCATCCCTTTTTTGTGCAGTCAAATCCTGGCTGAATATATGAACATGGACATGAATTGGAAACAGAACAATACAATAATTAATGAACTTACCATTTTGGAAATCTCTATTCCCTCATTACATTTAAGGTCTGTAATACCTTTTTAACCCTTTTTACTAGCATCTGTGCTAGTCCCATTCTCTCACTCTCACACTCCTGTTCATCTGAATAGGGTTCTCTCAAAGAATCCCTTTTCATCCATAGATTGCTTGTTTGAACAAGATACGTGAGATTATTTGATTCACAGGTTCAGTTGCTTCTGTTTATCTGAATTCAGACGAGTGTCAAAATCTTTCCAAATCACAATATTAAATATGTTTACTTATAAAAATGGCAAATAGTAGGTTGCTATTTCTATAATATGGCAAATAGTAGGCTGCTATTTTTATTTTTTTTCTGTCTTAGCTGTTGAGAAAAGCAGAACTAAACACCAAATGCTTATGAGGCTTCAACTGAATGCCATATAATGTAATTTACATACTTGTAAAGCCACAAAGAACTCTGCATAAACAGTCTTTAATATCAGCAGCTAGAAGATAAATTGAAAATTATATATATACACACACAGGAAACAATGAAGGGTCTAAAATATAGAAGGAGAAGGACAATTGAACTAAGAACCAGAGGTGTAATAACAAGTTCTCGGGTTCCTGTGGAATCAGTTGTGTAGTTCAGAAACACCACATACCTGCAGTCATTGCTCAGAGCACTTGGAGCCATTTGGGAAGTCGTGAGTAGAGCAGCACAGTGAATAGTAAGATAATCCTTAAATTAAATCCGAATTACTTCTGTCTGGGAAATTAATATAGCTTTGTATCACTGTAGTAGTCTTCAGTCAATTCCAAATATGCAGAGCATTACACAAAAAGGTCATCTCCTTTCATGGGAGTATTTGCTGCATTACAGTTCGATTTCGTATGATTTGGAATAAAATCTCCTTATTTTTCTGTTCTCTGTGAAAGGGAAAACCTGGGGTTTTTCAGTCAAAAAGGCTGCTACAAGTTATAGTACTTGGATGCTTTTGTCCTTGACTTTGGGGAAGTTTGCCTGATTTTCTGCCCCAGATCTCTAGGTTTTTGGAAGAGCTGATTAGAAGTTCCAATTCAAGCTTTGATGTTCTAATGAGACAGAATAAAAGCTGTTTGTCTGACAGGAGGCAAACTCCAAGGTTGGATAAGATAGACTGGGTTTTTAAATTTTATTTTATTATTTTAATTATCTGTAAACTCTTTGTATTTTCTGTCTTAATTGAAGACTGTGTCCAGAAATCCTGTGCCAGTGTATGCAAACATCCAGTGTGTGCTCTGTGTGTGTCCTTGAGGAGGTAAACTAAGGAAAAATGTCTTAGATATGTGGAGGATCAACTCAAGATGTTTTAGTGAGATTAGTTTCAAAACTGAGGCATTTTCAGGGTGGTATTTATATCACATGAAAATCTGTTAGGGTTGTAAGCCGAGCAAGTGTCCAATGAGCAGGGAGAAAAGTGACTCCAGTCATATCTCTTTGTGTATGTGACGGAATCATGGCAAGTACATCCTCTGAAGGAAATCTCCAACACACCACCCTTCTCTGTCAAAATAAAAGAGGTGAAAACGCAGCAGTTTCAAATCTCAAATGCAACTGTAGTCATTCTTAGCACTGTGTTTCCTCTAAATGCTACATGCTATGTAAAAGTAAGATTTTTTTTTTTTGTCATTAGACTTTGAAAGAAGCTCTTGACATGAGTTGGGAAACATGACTTCAAATAGTTTTCGGGGGGGTTGATTTTGTCTTTTCATAACTACTGGTTCTATGCTACCAATGCTGTGACACTGCCCCTGTCTTTAACTGGTTTGTACAGAGCATTGTGTGGTGAGAGCTTGATGCATGGTAAAGCCTCTATCTCAACATTCATTTAAACAAATCATAATGTGTTCTGGCATTGCTGTTGTTAATAGTCACCTGTGTTGGTTTGCTCCCCCAGCTTTCCCTGCTGGAAGATGTAGGCTTTGGTGGTGTTCTTCTTTACGCTGACCCTTGTGACTTACCAAAGACCACAGATCTTGCTGATAAAGCTTTTATGGTTTCCTTGAACAGCGGAGGAGATCCATCAACACCTGGCTATGCCAGTATTGGTAAGTACTGTTCAAGGCATATTCAGTTAATGGACATTTTCATTCTCTGTAGATTTTAAGTATGGGAGTTAAAACACTAAGCCAAATCCTGCCTGAAATAGAAGCTCTGAGTAAGGGAGCGTGTAATGCAGCGTGGCTTAGAGGATGGAATCCAGTCTCAAAAGTGCTTTGAGCTCTTGGCACAAAGTCTGCACTCTAAATAATTTATTTTATTGCTTTTTGTATTTGAGTATTCACACGCTGAACCATTATTACTGACTGCTTATTCTTATCCCATGAAAAAAAAAGGCTGTGAAGTCCTGATCCAGTGGTTTCTGAGCAGGTTTCATGGGATCTGTCCCCACCAAAAGAAGTATTCCCTTCATTCTGTCTTCCACTTTTATTCCATTGTTAATGGAAACTTATGGTCAATAGGTGCAAGCGCAGTGTGAACAGACATTTATATTTGAAAAGTTTTGAGAAAAAGAATAATATTTATAGTATCTGTGTGCAATTATCACTTGAATAGGATGTGTTCATTTAACCTTGCCTCAGTTCTACCTGGATAGACTTGGTTATCAATTATGCTTCTCTAGGTGCGTGTATTTTCAAAGGATGGGAAATAGAGAATTGATTTCAAGGAATGGCATAGTCTTACATAACTTTATGTGGTTGTTTTGTTGTTTGTTTTTTTTTTAAAGCAATGCTAACAATAAATAGAAGCAGCAGCATATTTGACTTGCATGTGCTACTTAAATCTCCAATCTGGCAGTTCAGTGAATGTCTGTTCTGCTTCTCTGCAATGTTTTCAGCTTTTACAGCTTTTTTACTATCTAACTATTTGGAAATGTATTAAACAGCAGTCTATGAGTTTGTGACAAGGCTTCATCAAGAATATTTTGTCCGGTTACTAGCTCAGACATCTAAAGTCTGACTTGAGTTGGCACTAAATCAACTGAGGCAATGCTGAGATACTTCATGACTAGAATGGCAGAAAATAGAAATATTTGCCTGGTTGTCAAAGAGGGGTGTTAGCTGTTCACAGCATGAATGCCTTGACAGCTCAGTGGGAAAGAAATTGCACATTTTCTCAATGTCTCAGTGTACCTGACCCAGTGTTCTTAAAAGTGCCCTGGGAGCTACAGAGGTAAATATAACACTCTTCAAGCTTTATTCTTGCTCATTTCATGGAGCTGTTTGAGCAACAGTTTGTCGTGTATCTGTCTGGCTGACTCCTTAATGTTTTATTTACCCTACATGAAAAGTAAAGCTAATTAAAACAGATATACTAACATGAAGGTGCCACTTCAGTGTCTAAACCTTATGTGTTGGTTTTCTGTCAGTAAAAGATCTCATTGGCAGTGTGCATTCCAATCTCCAGTTTAGGAAAAAGAAGCTTAATTATGTGGAGAATGGTGTTGTAAGTACATCGATGGCTTGTCTGTGGTTTTAAGTCTTTGAGCAATGTTCATAAGCAGGAGGAGAACACGTTCTAAAATCATTTATATTTTAATCATTGAATGCAATGATGAGCTGGAAAGAGCTCAAAGGAATACTTGAGGAAACTCTCTTTTATGGTTCTGTCAGTGAAAGGTAGATCAGATGGAAATAATTTCCGTGTTTCTGATGATGACTTTTCTTCTCTGGAGACTCTGAACCAACTTGGTTAGAGATAGCTTATGCCTGGGACAAATACAGACACATCTGGAGCCCAGCCTTTTCCCTGAGGGATGCACTTGCACACACTGTAGTTAAACTGCCTAAGTGTGCAATAAAATAGCCAAAGAGCCCAGGTTGCCCCTTTCGCTTTGATTCACTGAGTATAATATACACTACAAGAGACTTTATTGGAAGCTCCTGCTTAAGTTACTGGCATATCTTTGGCACCATCTGCACTTCACACTTTGCCAGTAGAACTGTTACTATCACTATCTCAGGGACTGCTCCTACCACCATTCTCCCTTTTACTGGGAAATTCCTAGTAAAATGAGTGATCCAAAGCTGTATTCACTGTATTCAGTGAATAAAAGGTAGAAAACCTGTATTTTCATGCTGCTGCCTATGTTTTTCATGTTCTGAAAACAATTTTCTCTGTGTTATCAGAGCACTGGAATGCTTCAGTTTTTTCCTAGAAAAAAAGTCTTCAGGAAAAGATCTTTTCTCAAAGTTGGCAGCATTAAAAATGGGATTTATTTAATAATTCAGAGAGAATTTTGAAATTCTCATGAGCTTTCAGCTCAAATTTTCTGTTTCATGAAGATTAAATGCTACACTACTGTATATTAATTATTTTGAATGTATAGAAATAGCTTGAGGATGAGTTTGAGATACCAACTACCTATGAGTGAGATGATTTTATTGATCTCTGTTTAACAAAGGGAAAAAAGTGATGATGACAAGGGGAAGTGAACAGCACTTATATAAAAGTTTCTCCTTCTCTGTTTCATAATTTAATTCTTCTGTTCTTAAGACTCTTCCATTCCTGTGTCATCTCAGTCCTGAAACAATTGTATGAGCCTTTGTGAGCATCAGTTCTGTTTTCGTGATTCTGATTGCCAAAGACTAGTGTCCTAAATTTTTAGAAATCTTTCTTCTGTGTTCCTGCTTTTGAATTTAAACAGATCCAGGGGGTGAAACTTAAGGAATTAAACACATGGGATTAAGAAGCCTGAGATAAGAGGCATATGTGGCAAAAAATTATCCCGAAAATAAAGTTTAGAAGAACAGCATAAAACTTGAGTGACTTCCCCATCTACTTTTCTTTTTCCATTTTGACTTTTTGACTGCTGCACTTCTTTCACCCACCTTTGTATGGCAGACACATATTAGATTTCTCCATCACTAGACTTCAGAGCTGTTTTAAATCAAATTTGTTTCCGCACAAGAAACGGCTCAGTAAACAAAAATATGGATAGAATCTATTTGTCAATCCTGGTATGTAAATAGAAAAGTGGCATTGTGATAAACATTAAGAACCCTGCCCATGAGATAAGGTGCCTCGTAATAAAATCCCTATCTGTGCAGTGGGGGAATGGAAAATATTTCATGAAGAATTCAGATGGCATCATAGAAAATACTGTGAGCTTAAAACTGCTGAAATATAACAGCTGTAAAATACAATCTTATGGTATCAGCTGGAGTTTCAAGTGTAATGTTATTTTAGAGAATTGTTATGCAGAGGTTATGCAGTATGAAAAAGGGGTGTGTTTTGAAATAGTCCCTGCTTTGAGTCATTGTAACAGCTTGTCATGTGAGCCATATTACAGGAATTTGGGTGAAAAAATCAGTGACACGGGGGAAAATGCTTGGTTCCCTATAATTGTGACTAGTGAACGTTATTTAGACAGAGGAATTGACACAAGCATTCCTCAAACATTGCTAATAAGGTTAGATTTCATAAGGGACAAGGAAAGCAAGGAATTTCTGAAGTGTTGATCCGCTGCAGGCCACAGCTGAGGCCATTGGCGAAGTCAGTGATGCCTCTGAAAACATATTTGAGAGAGGAAAAAACCGATGGAGAGAAAGGGAAGTGAAACTGAGCCTGGAAAAGGGCAATGCGGAGATGCTGTTCTAGTCTTTTTGGTTTTGTTTCTCACTATCCAATATGTTTTAATTGGCAATTGCTGACACTCAGCATTGATGATAATTGATAAGTGATCTCCCTGTATTTACTGTGATCAGTGATTTTTTCCATCTTATTTTCCCCTCTGTCCTCTTGGGTAGAGGGAATGAAAGCACAGCTGGGTAGGTGTCTGGAACCTGGCTAAGGTTTACCAACCACACTGTTCAACTAAAGTTAAACACCAAATATGTATCCTAAAAACCCCATGTCATTTACCTCTTTAGTCTTGTGTCATTCTTAAATGGAGCTTAGCCAGTTCGTCCACAGCAAACACAGGGAACTACTGCCACTGCTTGGGGTATGGGTAAAGAGGTACATGCTGTGATGGAAATGTGTGCCTACTTTATTTTTAGTCAGCCCTGTGATTCTGTATGCTTAGATGTGTCCTGCCTAATAATCTCAGTTTGTCCTTACTGTCCTTTACTTCATGATATTTTACTCCTCTGAAGTAACAAGCTGAGCAGAAGTGAGCTGGAAAATAGCACATTGTGTCGTGGTTTTAACCATGCATATGCAACATATGTTCTAAAATGTTTTGTTATAAATCATCATGACTTTTTACAAGATGTCCTCAGCCCTGGTTTGTCTGTTCTTTTAAAGAACAAAACAGAGTGACAAGAATATATTTTCTGTGCTTGCCTTTGCAGCTGTGGAAATGATTCTGGGAATATATTTTTTTTTTTTTCTTTTCAAAATGCATGTTTATTTTCAGCTAATAACATCAGATAAATGCATTGTGAAGATAATCTGATGTAAAGTGAGTGTCTACATTCAGGTGTCTGGATATTGCTCTTTTATTTTCCTTAAGGACAGACAGAAACTAGTGAAAAAGAAAAGCTAAAGTTCCATATTATAATTCAGGTGTGAGTATATATATGTTTACATGTACTCTTGATCATTTTATTTTGTACTTATGACATAATTTTAGGGGTTGCCATAAAAAAATCACACACTTTATCATAGCAACTACAGTGCTCTGTCTGATATACTATGTTTTTTTTCTGAATGAAAAAAAATCTGTGCTAATGCAATAGAGAGGTAAATCTTTGGAAAATGCTGGCTTTTGAGTAGTGAGCACAGTAAGTAATAATTTCAGCAGATTTTCTATAATACATGTAGCACTAATAGTTCAAAAGGTGTCTGAATCCATGATCTGCCTCTTCAGATTTTGCAGGATATAATAAAGCAACTAAATTTCTATGTAAGTACCAAATTACGTACTCTCAGGTTTTTCTGGATTTATGGGTTTTAGTTTTTCCTGCTGTCTGGCTTTCAGTTCGTGTTACATGTATTTTAAACTGAGAGTTAGTTGGACATCAAGATAATTTAGGCTCACAGGTTTGAATGAGTGAACCTCTGTATTGTATGTCAGATATCATTTTGTCTTCTACTAAGCTGC